TTGTTGCGGAGCACGGGCTCTAGGTGTGCAGGCTTTAGTAGTTGTGGCTCGCAGGCTCCAGAGCACAGGCTCAGTAGTTGTGGTGCACGAGCTTAGTTGCTCTGTGGCATGTGGGATCTTCCCGGTCCAGGGCTCGAACCCATGTCCCCTGCATTGGCAGGTAGATTCTTAACCACTGCGTCACCAGGGAAGTCCCGAGTTCCTATGTTCTTAACCACTGTGGAAGCCTGCCATGTTTTTAACTCTAAGTCAACTGCACATTTTATAATACCAAGTTGCCTTGCTTCGCCAAGATGTCTGACCCTTTCATTTCAGTGATTTTTACCACCCTCAGGCCAGCTCCCAGCACAGGTCCTTGTGAAACCAGGCCTTCGCTGAACAGGCTGTAGACTCAACCCTTAGTTCCCAATGAAGGATGCATTTTCCACAGTCACCAGAGGCTAGAGCTAGGTGTTTATCCCCTTGAATTCCATAGCCATGACTACTTCAACTAGACCATCTCCTAGACTCTCCTTGTCTAAGCTAATTTTCAATCTTCTGTAGTTCTAACCTCTCATCCATAATTCACATTTTGTCACTCTTGTTTCAGCCAAACAGAAATAAACGTTGAATTAACAAGTAATGGGGAAAACACTTGGTCATCCCAGTCTTTTCTCAACAATATTCACAAGCCCTAGGGAATCTTGAATTAATCTTTCATTATCTCATCCAAAAATTTTTTCTGCCTTTATTATCTCAAACATGACTTGCTACCTTCTTTCCTTAAGCTTGTCTTCTTTTTCTCTCGGACTTTTAGTTTCTTCTCCTAGATGCTTGTGCAAACTAAAGTTTTAACCACTTTTCTCATTGTTCCTGCTTTTCCTTTTTTTAGAGGCATCTTATGAAAACCAACTTTATAGCCTTCAGTTGCTCTTCCCTTCCTGGTGAAAATCCTACTTTCCTTCTTCTTTCCTTTTCTTTCATAGCAGGTCGGGGATCAAAGAGCCAGAACTAGGTGTTGGTTAATGCCGTCCCCAACTTAGAAGTCTCAATCTGTCTCCACCAACTCAGGCTCTGAACTTTGGGATCTACCTGCTTTACTTTACTCCTAAACTCAAATAGGGACGTATGTATTTAGTTGTTTTGCAGAGCCTCAACTCCACGTATCCCCTGGGGTTGCTGGGCTTAGAGAGAATAGCCTGTTGCACCCAGATAAATTGCTGGGAAAACCTGTTAGACCTTTATTAAGTTAAAAAAAATAGTTAGTGATATCTAGGATTAAATTTAATAAGAAATGTGAAATTCAATAAGAAAATATTAGAACTTTATCAAGAGGCATAAAATAATATTTTTGAATAAATTGAGGGGCTGTGCTGGTCTGTTGGGTATGGTTGGAGGGGCAAATGGCATGAGAGAGACTGATTTTATTCACCAATGCCTGAGCAAATTGAGTATGAACATAGTAGAAAAGTAGCCTGCTCGTGGATTGGAAATCTCAACGTCAGTCGAAACACCAGTACTACCCTGGTACTCTGCCCTAATCAGGCAGCCATCTGGGCCCCTGAGAAAGTCCCTGCAGAAAGAGTATAGGTCATGCAGCAGCTCTACATCCTAGACACAGCTAAATTATCTGAGCCATACATGTTCCACTGCTTTGGATAACCTAAGTTATAATGGTTAGCAGAAGCTGTTGTATCACCAGATTGTAAATAAGCCACTAACTAGTCAAAACAGAGTACAAAACAAAACATCCTGTCAGTCCCATCTCAACTTCCCCTCTCTTTATTCAGCTAATCCTAGTAATCACAAGAATGAAACAAGAAAGAAATACACTAGTCCAGGAGAACAAACTATAAGCTGCATAGCTGGGTGGTAAACTAGCCCAGGGAAGACTTATAGCCACTTGTTTATGTATTGCTAGTAAGCTGATTGTACAGACATGATCATCATGCACAAAGAAATGGCTTCCTGGGGTCACACCAGTCTCCCTCCAGGGATGTAGTATGCTACTGGATGGGGGACTAATAGTGCAAAAAGGTCAACTCTCTCCAGATTAATCTGTGTAATTTCCAAATCTGTGTACTCAAATCCTTGAGTAAAAGGAGGTAAACATCCCAGTTTCACCTTTCCTACAATTTGTGCAAATCTCTGAACTTCAAGCACTGCCCATTGTGCAGACTTTGGCCCCTTATATTTTCTGTAAGAAATTTAGTCTTGTGCTGATTTCATGATGTTTAGTCATTTTTGCTGACAACCAGAGGAGGAATAAAGGAAATTACATGAAGAACTATAAAAGTCCCTGTCTTATCATTGGCTCTTTCCTCAGCTTTCAGAAGTCTACCATCTTAGCCCCCTGAGGAAAGAAGTGTGATTTTCCAGACCTGACTGTTCTTCCCATGGGAGGTAGCTCTGCCTTTTCTAATAACCCACTTTCACTCCATCCACAGAATTTTAGTGAATAAAATTTTATTTGTCTTCATCTCTAGTCAAAACTCTAATCTTGGGGCTTCCCCGGTGGCACAATGGTTAAGAATCCTCCTGCCAATGCAGGGGACACGGGTTCGTGCCCCGGTCCAGGAGGATCCCACATGCCGCCGGAGCATCCGAGTGTATGCGCCACAACTGCGGAGCCTGCACTCTGGAGCCCATGAGCCACAACTACTGAGTCCACGTGCCACAATTACTGAAGCCTGCACGCCTAGAGCCCGTGCTCCACAACAAGAGAAGCCACCGCCATGAGAAGCCCACGCATTACAACGAGGAGTAGTCCCTGCTCACCGCAGCTAGAGAGAGTCCATGCACAGCAATGAAGATTCAACACAGCCAAAAATAAATAAATAAAATAAATTTATTTTTAAAAAAAAACTCTAATCTTGAGCAAACTGGACAAAATGATTCTGAAGTTTATCTAGAAGAGAAAATAGACAAGAGTAGCCAAGAAGTCTTCTTTAAAAAAGAAGACTTGCTATCCTATATTAAAAGTTACATAATTTAAAAGATGAATGGAAGGAGGGATAAATTAAGAGTATGGGATTAACAAATAAAAACTACTATACATAAAATAAGCAACAAGGATTTACTGTATAGCACAGGGAATTATATTAAATATCTTGTAATAGCTATAATGGAAAATAATCTGAAAAAAATATATATGTGTAACTGAATAATTTTGCTGTACACCTGAAACTAACACAATATTGTAAACCAACTGTACTTCAATTAAAAAAAAATATTTTTAAAGATGGATAGAACAACGGAACTTAATAGAAAACCCAGAATTATATTCTATGTTAGAATTTAGTACGTTATAAAAATGACATTTAAAACCAGAGTGGGATAAAATATTTGCAAATTACATATCTGATAACTGATTTCTATTCAGAATAGATAAAGAATGCATAGCTCAGTGATTAAAAAGATAATTAACCCAGTTTGAAAATGGGCAAAGAATCTGAATAGACATTTCTCCAAAGAAGATATATAGGACTTCCCTGGTGGCGCAGTGGTTAAGAATCCGCCTGCCAATGCAGGGTACACGGGTTCAATCCCTGGTCTGGGAAGATCCCACATGCCATGGAGCAACTGAGTCTGTGTGCCACAACTACTGAGCCAGCGCTCCAGAGCCCGTGAGCCACAACTACTGAGCCCGCATGCCACAACTACTGAAGCCCGCACACCCTAGAGCCCATGCGCCGCAACTACTGAGCCCACGTGCTGCAACTACTGAAGCCTGCGCACGTAGAGGCTGTGCTCCGCAACAGGAGAAGCTACCGCAATGAGAAGCCCACGCACTGCAACAAAGAGTAGACCCCGCTTGCTGCAACTAAAGACCTCAGGCAGCAACAAAGACCGAACACAGCCAAAATTAATTAATTAATTTAAAATTTCCTTTCTCATTAAAAAAACAAACAAATCAAAAAAAGAAGGTATATAAATTGTTCAATAAAACACATGAAAAGATACTCAATGTCACCATTAGTCATTATGAACATGCAAATCAAAATCACATGAGATATTACTTCGTATCCACTAAGATGGTTAAAATAAAAAACAGTCAATGACAAGTGTTGGCAAGGATATGGAGAAATTGGAATTCTCATACATTGTCAGTGAGAATGTAAAATAGTGCAACTGCTGTGAAAACCTTTTTGGCAGTTCCTCAAAATGTTAAAACTAGAGTTACCATATGACCCAGCAATTCTACTCCTATGTTTATACCCAAGAGAAATGAAAACATGTTCACATAAAAACTCGTATGTGAGTGTTCATAACACAGGGCCTGACACCAGCTAAGAACTCAGTAAATGCTTGTTGAACCAATGAAGAATCGAAGAGGCTATAGGAATGTTTTATTCAGGACAGAAAGATCTATTGATAATATAGTTTTAATACTTTTCATAACATGATAATGGGCTACTTCTAATAGTTTGTAACACCTATGTGTTTTGATGTGATGATTTTGTATGTGTTGTTGTTATCAGGCTGACTCCACTAAATTGCAAGTCCCTGGAAGTCAGGACTGCCTTACTCATCTTTTTATCTCCCCACAACATCCAGCACACTGGTTTCGGTGCAGTAGATGCTCAGTAATTATTTATTAATTCAAATTTAGTCAAGCAAGTTTAGGAAAGGCTGCCTTGGAATGAACCTCAGATATCTTAAACTATGGCTCTGTAATTAACTTATGAAGGAGAACTGGGTTTCTGTGTTTGGCAGTAATGTTGGTGCACACCAGCTTGTTGTCTGTGGAAACATAATCTAGGATTACTAGAAGCATTAATGGTGGAGAACTCCTCAGAAGTTACTTGTCCTCTTTCCTCTAGAAAGCTTCAACAAACACTTTAGGGTTTCTATTTTTATTGTATTTCTTGATTCTTTGAATAAAGAGACAAAATCCTATTTGTGGGCAGATACCCTCAGTGAGAAAGTGTGAGAAGCTAGTGAAGTCTTCATTAGCAGCCAGCATCCCAGGCTGATCTACAGAGGGGCATCCTTCTCATCATTTCTCTCTTCTTTTTCAGAACAAGAGAGGTATCTGCAAGCCAACAACAGAGAATTTAACAGTCTGTTCGGATATCCGGTGAGTATCAGGTCTCTAGCTATTTCAGGAGGGGGCTGGTATTTTCCTCTAATAATCCCCGTTGTCAGTGAGGCAGGAAGTTCTTTGTAGATGTAGATTCTACAACATAGGTTCTACTTTCTTTCAAGGTCCTATACAATGAGGGCTGGTACAGTGAGGGCTCAGAAACCAAATTAATACGGTGACCTAGACTCAGGGGAGAATGTGTCTCAAATTTTGGGTTTTATATATATCTTCTAGAAAAGAAATATTGTAGCTTGCACAAATGAAAGCATAGTTCTACAACTTCCTTTTTTCACTTAGACATCTCTCTATGACAATATGTGTAGACCTTCCTAATTCATTTAATAGCAGCATAGTTTTCCATTGTATCAATATACCTTAATTTATTCAACCAGTTTCTTATTATCATTTTAAATGTCTCCATTTATATGCAGGTGTCCCCTCCAAAAAAATTTCTCCAGTGTTTTGCTATGATAAATGGTCCTAAGTGAACACCATTATTCTACATATACTTCAGCACATTTGTGTGAATATACATTATGAGAGTTTCCTTGAAGTGAATTGGCTGGGTCAAAAGGAAAACACATTAAAATTTTTGATACATATTGCCAGATTGCCCTCTAAAAAGATTATATCCATTTATATTTCTACCTATAGTAAAGACTGCTCACTTCTCCATATTCCTGCCAAACTTGATATTATCAATCTTTTTTATCTTTGCCAGACTCTTAGATGAAAAATGACATTTTATTATCTATCTTTCCTTAATTTTGAGTGACAGCAATAATCTCTTCATGTTAATTAGCCTTTTGTATTTCTTTTTATGGAAACTACTGTTAATGATCTTTGCCCATTTTCTACTGGATTCTTTTTTCACTTTTTAATTTATTTATAAATAAGTAACTCATAAAAAGATATATGTTTAAAAGTCATGCTCCAACACCCTATTCTTGCCCTCATCTCTGCTCGCTATAGGGAACCACCTTTATTAGTTTCTTGTGTATTCAGCAGTGCTTCTTTGTGCAAATAAAGCAAATACAAATATATATTCTCATTTTCCCACTTTCTTAAACTATTCTGAACCTTATCAGTATATCCTGGAGATGTTTTCATAATTATAATTTCATGATAGCTTTTTCCTTCTTTTTTCAACTGCATAGTATTTCCTAGGCAGATTTAGCATAGTTTATGTAACCATTTCCTTTTAAATTGACTTTGGATTGTTTCCAATCTTTTATAATTACAAGCAATTTTTACATATATGTTACTTTGTGCACATGTAGATATATATATATATATATATATAGTGCTATAAGTATATAATATATATACATAGATATACATATTTGTAGTCTCTGTAGGATATTTATGATTTCTGAGTTAGAGAGGCTCTGGATAATAACAATATTTAGGATATGGCCATGGGAACAGGTTTCCCCCTCTCTACCTTCTAGAGCTACATAAGAAGCTCTATGGTGCAGTAAAACTAGGTTTTGGCATCAGACAGACCTGAGTTTGAACACAGCTCTAGTCTTTACTAACCTTGTATCCTTAGGCACATTATTTAACTTCTTTTCTTCAGTTCCCTCATGTATAAAAAGAGCATAATAATGTTCACCATACATGGTGATTGTTAGAGTTAAATATGGTTGTGAAAAAAAAATGTTAGTTTTCTTTCATCAAGAAACTATTACCCCTTGACAAAAGGGTACAAGTTTCACTCATCTCTGTAACTACTGTTCCCATCACAATATTTGGCACATAAATGGCATTCAATAAACATATGCTGGATAGCTGATGAATAAATAAACAGGTTTGACTATTATGTACTTAACAACCATTTCATTGCCCTGCCTATCCATTGCTCATTTTCATCCTATTTCTCTAATTACTTCCATTCCTATTCCTTTTCCTCTTCTCAATCCCCTAACTACTGATTCTCATTATATACTTGGCCTTCTGTTCTCTATACCCCGCTTTAGCAGTCAAACAGGTACCCCTGCCCAAATAAATAAATAGCCCAAACCAAAATCTGCCACCTCTATCACGCCAAAAGAACCAAACACTGAGGAATTTCATAGTTAAGCAGATGTTCTACATTCTTGAGATATTGCTTCTGGTTTGACATTTAAGAGTAGAACAAAACACTCTAGTTGCCAAGTTAGTAAAGAAGTACTGCTATATTTATCTTGAGACAGAATCGGGATAGCTTTTGTCTTTGTTTTCTAAACAAATGCTACCCAAATGAATAGAAACCTGAAATACATTAACTATAAAATCAAATGGAAAATCAGTAATGAAAGCCAGCTGCTTCAGTAAGGCAAAAGATCAAAAGAACTTTGGATCCAAGTATCAGAGTCATCTGGACTTAGATACCAAGAAATTCAGAGTATCTTATGATCCAAGAAAACTATTTCTATGTTAGAATAACCTACTCTCAGAGCTAGAAAGGACCGTAGAGGTCATTTAGTTAGAACTCCTTTCAAGACATACCTGTGAGCTCTCCAGGATAGATCTTGTTTAACTCTTTTTCAGCCTCTGCTAGTATAGCCCATAATAGAGCTGTGAACAGAGCAAACCTTGAGAAATATATAGTGTTTGATTGATCATTAATTGGAAAATCATGGAGAAACACGAAGGAAATCCTAGGTTTAACTTGGATCTTTAAACTCCTAAGTGCTAAAATGTTTGACCAGCTTCCCTTCCCTAGGGAAATAGACCTTAGGCAAGGCTTGACTGGGTAGCCTATCTAGCCTTCCAAGGCAAGTTTTAGCCTTAGTACAGAATGATGTTGGTTCTCTGACAGAAGAGTTCAGATGTCTTCCCAAGGTAGGACCCAGCAAGAGATTCTTCACACTTGAGCAGTATCTGTATTTCAGGACTGCAGGTGGGTTTATTCTTTCATTAGGCCCTATAGATGGAGATGGTGGGGGGAGAAGCCCTGTCCTTAGGGGATTATTTGGTCTCATTCTTCTGCTTTTCTTGAGCTCTTAGATCCAAACTCTCACATCTTAGGTCAAACGACTGAAGACCCCAAAGTAGAAAGTAAGATGGTCTTGCCAACATCTTGAGATCAGGATTGAAGAGGTAGCAAGTTCCCATTTTCACTCAGCAAAATAATAGCTTAGATGCAGGCCAAAACTATTCAGACCTCTGTCAGGACAGTTAAGGGGCAAGTGAGTCTCCAATGCTGAGAGCAACCAGTGTAGGAACCTTCAGTGGGCTAAGGTTGAAAGACAATAATTTGCTTTTGGCATCTGATATCCTTCAGCATTGAAAGCAACATGTAAAGGCACAACAAAATGGGATTGCCAGGCTAAGAAAAGCTCCCCTAGAGAGCTCTGAGTAGAGCTAACACAAATGGCAAACTTGCCTGCTGTTTAGGGCTGCGAAGGACCTTGGGTCATAGGGTAAGATGAAACTGAAAGATTTCTGATTCTAAGAAAAAAAAAGCATTTGGATGGCTGTACAAGTGAACTGGGGCTCAGGGGACAGCACAATCTCAACTCTGCAAGTAACTGTGTGGTCTTGGGCAAATAAATTAACCTCAGTGCCTCAATTTCTGCGTCCTCAAAAGTTGGTAGTATATTACTCCCTTCATATGGTGGTTGTGAGAATTAAATAAGTTGCTCCATATAAAATGCTTAGAAGAGTGCCTTACACATAGTAACTATTCAATAAGTGTAAGTTTTTATTGTTGTTGATTTTATTATCATCATTATTATCAATGGCATCAATAAACAAAGAATTCTATTCAGGGCATAAATAAATCCTGCCCCTCCTAAAAATGTCCCATATTGATCAGCTCTGCCAACTTTGCATACTCTAGGCCTCTCTAGGCCTCAAAGAAAAGCTCCCCACTATGTTGGGGAGCTGTGGCTTTTTCCTGTTTCATGAAGTGGTCTTGGTCCTTTTTGTTAAGACTGGGAGGTGGGGTCTTTCATTCGTCTAATTGTGCTTGTGTTCTTTTATTCACAGAACAATAGCATCAAGACCTCAAAATATAATGCCTTTAACTTCTTGCCTATGAACCTGTTTGAACAGTTCCAGAGACTTGCAAATGCATATTTCCTCTTTTTGCTTTTCCTACAGGTATTGCCTTTTAGGGCCATTTCCACAAAGTATTTTATCAGCCTCTCTGGGGTCAGGTTATGTAATCAGTCCTTCTCCTCCTTAAACTGAGAGATGTCTTCTCTCTTTAGATAACAGGCAAATGGATGGCTGGAGTCTCAGGCCAGTCTCCTAGAGTAGCTGTGGTCAGGATTAGCCAGGGTGAAACAAGCCTCTACAAGAGGAAGGGGACAAGGTCGCCAAGTCCCGAGAAAGGGGTGCTCCCTCATCATGGCTGCACGGCCACAGTTCAGCTTAACCATAAAAGGCCACAGACTTGACTCTTCACCCCAACCTCAGCTGCCATCCCATTCCTCCTTCTTGTCCCAGCCTCCCTGACAGAAAGTTAACACACGGGAGTGCTGAGGGAGGAGAATGGTTTAGAACACAAACACAGGGCAAGGAAGCAGAGCAGGGTAGGCACAAGTTGGGAGAGAGAGACGGATCATCTCATTTCTCCTTGTGCTGGAGGGGTGTGGGAGGTTATGTGGTTTTCCTGTGTCCACTCTTACAGCCCTACCCCCAGCACCTTCATTATCAGAGGAGAAATGGCTCTTTGCCATCAAGACAAAGGTATTAGAGTTCAGGACAGATACATAGCAATTTACCATCTCCTCTTCTTTAATCCTTTCTTAGGAGGTGTTTCCTGATTTTGGGGTGGTTGTCTGGAGGCTACAACAATGGAAAGCAACTAGGATAGTTGAATTTATTATAAATCTAGGGAGGGGAAAATGGTGGTGGGGTGGGGATTGGGAGGGAATACACTGTCCTTTAAGTTTTTTGACCCAAGTTTCTCTCCCCGTCCCTCTTTCAGTTGATTCCCCAGATCTCCTCCTTGGCATGGTATACGACTGTGGTACCCCTGATGGTGGTGCTGTCCATAACAGCAGTGAAAGATGCCATCGACGACGTGGTGAAGTGGCTTCCTGGGCCTCTAGTCTCTCACTGTACCTAGTCAGGCTGTGGGGGGCAAGAAGGACTCCCCAGGACTACCTTTTGCTAGGAAGAAGCACTGAAAGGAAAGAGGTGTTTCCTTTCCCTATGTCCTTATCCATCCCAGAGGAATATGAAATTCCCTTAAGCCCAAGATTGGTGAGCCATACATGGCCAGAAAGGGGTAATGCAAGGCCTTTCTCTTTCTTCCTACTGCCACCTTTTTCCAGGTTTCCTTCCATCTCCTTTTTAATAACCCACCTCTTCCTTCAGTTAGCTCTCTCTGGGTTTGCTCTCATCCTTCTTTCTCTATTCACCCTTCTCCCATTTTTATATTCCCCTTCCCTCCTCCCTCTGTCCCCCCTGCTTTCTCCTGCTCTTATCTCCCCTTTCCACATTGCTCTTCTCCTCTCCAACTCTCCCTTATTTCCCTTTCCAACTTTCAGTTCTATCAGGTACACATAGCTAGCAACCCTCTGGTTTTAGAAAGATCATGACATAACAGAGGCTGACTCCTTTCCTGGCCTTGGAGGGAGAAACTGGCTTTCAGTGAGTGCTGCATGGCTTCCTCTTTGCTTCTTTACAGCAGGTCCAGCAAGGAAGGGTGAGGGTGAGGAACCAGCACTACGCCTACTAGTGGGATTTGGGAAGTCCATCCTGTTGACCTGCTTGAAGCTTCCCTAAGAGAGTCCTTCTGATTTTGACAGGATAGATTTTTATACCAAAGTTTGAGAGCAGGGTGTTTCTCCAGCTCTTTAACTCTGTAACTCTTTTTTTTTTTTTTTTTTTTTTTTTGCGGTACGCGGGCCTCTCACTGTTGTGGCCTCTCCCCTTGCGGAGCACAGGCTCCAGACGCAGGCTCAGTGACCATGGCTCACGGGCGCAGCCGCTCCGCGGCATGTGGGATCTTCTCGGACTGGAGCACGAACCCGCGTCCCCTGCATCGGCAGGCAGACTCTCAACCACTGCGCCACCAAGGAAGCCCTCTGTAACTCTTTAAAACCAGAATTAGCACATATAGTGGTTGAAATTTCAGTCACAACTCAGGTGTGCAAAAATATAACTTAATTTTCTGTAACTAAACTCAGTGTAGCTCATAACCAGCACCTCACCATCTCAACCCTTTTTAATGAAAGCTGAAAAGTAAACTTGCCAATTCAGAATAACCCACCTAGTTACTTCTGGTTTAGAACTCAGTCTCTTTAGGATAAACCGACAAATTCAGGATTCTTCCTGCCCTCTTCCCAGTCCTACCCTTTTTGCAGGGAGTAATCTCAACTGGAAGGAGGGGATTTGTGTGAGTCGTAGCATCAGGACATACCCTTATTTGTCACCTTCTTATTTGGTCTTTGAATGGACCTCTATTCCTCTTTCCTCACTGCGTCCATGGTAGAGGCTTCTTATGCTGACTGTGGTTGTGGGTGAGGGTAGCTGTATGCTTGTGAATACTTAACTTCCCTGCACCTACCAAGGTGTATGAGGTTCTAGTCCTACCCCTCATTTTGCATTCTCTCCTCTGTGGCTTTTGACGTAAGTTGTTTGTTCTCATTACCCCAGGCTTTGGCTCTTGATATTAAAGCCAAGATTTTGTCTCTTTCTTCTCTCTTGGTTCTTTTTCTGACCTCCATCCCCAGCTTCTCAGAGACAATCAGCTTCTTGGCCTGGTTTTTATGGTAGAAGGACTTGGGGTTGGGAGGGTGAAGGAGGGGGGTGAGGGAGAATTACAAAAAAGGGGAACTACATTGAATAATACTTCAAAATATTAACCTTCTACATGCAGTTTGCTTTATGTCTATTTCCTGAACTTTTTCTTGTATAATTTTAGAAAAGGCACCAAAATGACAATCAAGTCAACAGTCGTTCTGTTCTGCTGCTGATGGATGGCAGGTAAGTCCTAGGGAAGCCAGTTTAGGTTGGACCAACTCTGGGAGAGGATTGGCCTTGCTAAAACTTGATGTGCTGGGTGCTTTGCAAAAGTGATTCAGGACAGTGAAAAGAGCCTCAGGTTAGACATAAGAAGAATTTGTTTCTAGATCTAGTATGCCCTGAACTTCCTATGTGACCTCAGACCTCTCTGGGCCTCATATTTCTTATCTGTAAAGTGAAGATAATATTCTCTACCTTAGAGGATGCTTGTGAAAATGAAAACAAAATAATATATATTAAAGCAATTAATAAATTATGACATGGTATTAATGTGCAAGTGGTTATTACTAGTACAGTGGTCAGCATGGAGACACCTGTCTTTAGAACATCAATCGACTCTACATGGCTTATTGACCATTCTACTGTAGCCTTTGGTTAGGACATCTTTTTGTTAGCAATCTAAAGAAAATATTGATGTTGACTCCATTGCTGTAGTGTTTGGTCATATCTATCTAAAGTATTGGGTCAATGTTTGTATTTTTTGTGGGTTCCTGCAAAATTTGAGCAATTTACCTTTGGCAGGAATAGAGGGAGACAGGCATGATTTCTATATAAGGCAAAATGTGAAGATTATCATAAGAAGTACAAAAAATTATCATAGGAATTAATAAAAATGAGCAATCATAGCTGGCTAAAGGAATCAAGGAAGACTTTCTGGAAGAGGTGATATTTGTGCTGGGCCTTAAGGGATGGGAAAGAATTCAACAAATAGAGATTGTATGAAAGGAAAAGTGACCAGTTTGCAGAATCATGATTGCAAAGAAGTACAAGTCTGAAAGAATTCAAGATTGAGGTCCAGTCTTTTTTCATGGTGACCTTACAGAATACCCAGGAGCTATATTTTAAAAACATATTTTTTAATTGCAGTATAGTTGATGTTCAACATTATACAAGTTACAGTTGTACAATACAGTGATTCACAATTTTTAAAGTTTATACTCCATTTATAGTTATTATAAAATATTGTCTATATTCCCCATGTTGTACAATATATCCTTGTAGCTTATTTTATACATAATAGTTTGTACCTCTTAATCCCCTACCCCTATATTGCCTCTCCCCACTGGTAACCACTAGTTTGTTCTTTATCTGTGTGTTTGTTTCTTTTTTTTTATATTCACTAGTTTGTTGTATTTTTTAGATTCCACATATAAGTGATATCATACAGTATTTGTCTTTCTCTGTCTGACTTATTTCATTTAGCATAATACCCTCCAAGTCCATCCTTGTTGTAAATGACAAAATTTAATTCTTTTTTATGGCTGAATAGTATTTCATTGTATATATACCAGCAGCTGTAGTTTTAATCATATGATTCTATTATGTGACATGCTTGGGCATCTAATTCTGTTATTTATTGTGTCTGCTGATTCTTACTCGTGGTGGATTATTTCCCTAAGTGTTTTGGTCTGTTGAAGCCTCTCATAAGATACCACCAAAAAAGTCAGTTGTGATTAAAAAGAAAATTAAAAAAGAAAGGAAGGTAATAGAAATAGAAAGAAAAGATAAAACTGAGTGTATAAGAAATTTGCAAGGCTAGGGAGTTACCAAATGAATTTAGTCAAATGAACTTCCCAAGGAGCTTGAGCACTTGGATTTTATAAGATTATTAGAGAAGAATTTGTCATAGAGTGGTTTTAGAGTAGGAGTTCACAAGCAGGGCCCTAGTGGTTAGACTTTGTAAGCCAGTGAATGTTTGACTGATGTAACACTTGAGGTGAGTTGTCTATATTCCAAAAAGTGGCTTTCTTTTTCTGGAGCACATGAGTTTGAGCAAAGCTACTACTGAAAAAAATTTGTTTTTCAAGTTGTGATTTCTGTCCTTAATTTCTCAGTAATTCTGGCTACAAGCACATCTTTAGTTAAAAGCCACACTTTTTAGCTATCAAGAGGAATGAGCCACATCTTCTATAAGTGTTCTCCCAGATATATTATTAATGAAAAATGCAAAGTACAGAAAATTATGTATCTATTATGTAATTTTTAAATGTTTATCTTGTATGGGATTATATGGATTGATATTTTCTCTAAAGAAATGCAAAAAATTACTCACAGTGGCTACCTTGGGGGAAGGAAAATTAAAATCTGGGGAGAGAAGAGACTTTACTTTTTCCTTTTACATACTTCTTTTTTTTTTTTTTTTAATTTACTCTTGGCTGCATTGGGTCTTTGTTGCTGTGCACGGGCTTTCTCTAGTTGCGGTGAGCGGGGGCTACTCTTCGTTGTGGTGTGTGGGCTTCTAATTGCGGTGGCTTCTCTTGTTGTGGAGCACGAGCTCTAGGCACGTGGGCTTCAGTAGTTGTGGCTCACGGGCTCTAGAGCGCAGGCTCAGTAGTTGTGGCGCAAGGACTTAGTTGCTCCGCAGCATGTGGGATCTTCCCAGACCAGGGCTCGAACCTGTGTCCCCTGCATTGGCAGGCGGATTCTTAACCACTGCACCAGCAGGGAAGTCCTTACATACTTCTTAATTATTTGAAATTTTTTTTTTTACCATGTGCATATATTGCTTTTATTTAAAGAAAAATTATGTGCATGTATGTCTACATATACCTTTATAGAGTTTTAGAAAACTCTTATAGTCTTAAGTCAAGAGAAGTAGGCCCCATTCTTGACTGTAGCAAGGAGTATCACAAACCCAGTTCGGTCCTCCTTTGAGCCTTGAGTTCATCTCAGCTTTTTTTTTTTTTTCTTCTTGATTGTCAAAACAGGGCTGTGGGGAAATTCTCAGAGCAGGCATGCAGGCATTCAAGGCTCACTTTCTTGCAGGATAGTGACAGACAAATGGATGAATGTCCAAGTGGGAGATATAATAAAACTAGAAAATAATCAGGTTGTCACGGTGAGTACCTCTTTGGGCTGTGGCTTTTTCTCTTTTGGCTTGAATAGGAACCCTTTTAGCAACTTCTGTGACCACTCCTTTTGGTGACCTTCACCTTCCTCACTTTGCATCCAGAGATCAACATCTCCTGTGGTAAGAAGTTTGTTCTTGTCCATTTCTCACCATAGCTACAGGTAAAATATGACTAGTTTTTGGAGAGGGGGTGTGTGGTAGCAGTGATGGGTCCTAGACAAAGAAAGTAAACCAAATGTCTTTAATATTCTTAAGATGAACATCTGTTCCTGAGGTAATTGCTTTTGTTACACTGTAATGTTAAAAGTCTGCCTTCCTTATCTTCTCTGACTTTTCTGACCACAGGCTGATATACTATTACTCTCTAGCAGTGAGCCCTACAGTCTGACATATATAGAAACAGCAGAACTGGACGGGTGAGTGTTCCCTCCTGATAATCCATTAAGACGGTTGAGCCAGCTTAGAGTGATTTCTCACTGAGGGAGAACATGATGCAGAGAATGAAGTGCTAAAAGAGGCTAGAAATATCTAGATAAGATAGGAGGCCAGACTCTTGGGACCTCAAGTCTAAGGCTGAGCTCTTGACAGCAATAATTTAGCATCCACTGGTGCAGAATCTGGGCAAATAAACTCCGTATTCTCCATCTCTAAACTGGAGACATTCTGTCTATCTATATTCAGTAATGCTGAGTGGTAGGAAAGACGTTAACGGAACTGTAAAATTTCAGAATGTAGTTCCAAAGTTTCCAGGGGGGGAAATGAATATGGAGGTAATTATGTACTGATAAACCATGTTCTAGAAAGGATTTAACGTAGAAATTCATTAACGTGCAAAAGCTAAGATCTTTGGAGTATAGAGGCCATCTTCAGAGAGCTTGTCCTGTGGAGTTTTGTATCGATCTGCATCCTTACAACTATTCCTCTTGGTGCCCACAGACTTTTTGAAATGTGGCTTCTTTTTTACTTCTGTCTCTGTGCATTCTTGTATCAGCAAATGGTTAAGTGGGATCCCTTCATGGATCCTGTAAATATTTATGAGATGAGGAGTATGTTTACTTGGAGGTATATGCACTTTCTTACCAGGACCTGCTCCTTATTCTTGAAGGGAGCAGGTACCCCCTCCAGGTTGTCTTGTGATGTTTCTTCAGCTTTTCTAGAGCATCTGACCCGCAAGATCTCATAGGTTGGTTAAAGTAGTTGATATGTGTTTCAGGGAGAGAGTGGAACAAGTGGGCTAGTACTCAGCTTCCCTGTAGAACCATCCCACCTCAAAACTTTTCTTGAGAGAGGATAACAGTGGGAGTGACTCTCACGGCTCAAGCCTATAGCCCAAGCTCTATTGGTAACAACTGTTTTCTAAAGTTGGAGAAATTGGACCTGTGCTGCTGTTATGTATGTGCATTCTTTACTCTAGTGAAACCAACTTGAAAGTGAAGCAAGCCATCTCAGTTACCAGTGAGATGGAAGATAACCTGAAGCTACTGTCTGCCTTTGATGGTGAGTTAGGAAATAGGTTTGCCAACCCAAATTTTTATTAGGAGATGTCTGGTTAAAGTGTGGTATATCCATACAGTGAATTCTATATAACTTATTAAAAACGATGTGCAAGTTGGTATTTATTCACATGGAAAAATATTCACAACATATTAATAAGTGAAAAAAGATTGCAATACACTATGCATAGTATATGTAACATAAACCTGTTTTTGGAAACATATGTATGTTTATGAGTACATGTATAGAAAAAAACTTGGAAGGATGTACTACAGAAGTTTAATAGTGCTTATTTCGAGGCAGTGGGTGAATTTTACTTTCTCCTTTCTCCTTTTAATGTTGTATATGTATTTACAATGGGCATATTTTACTTTACTAATCATGAAAAAGTCAAATTATTTCCATTTTGAAACAAATACTAGGTTTGCTTTAAGTAGTTTTAAAATTTCTTCAGATTCAGCTCATTTGATCTAGAAGTACTGATGGTGATAGGTTATCGCGTGGGTTGTTCTCTCTCTGGATGACCCATGTCACAGAATTACTCTTCTTTGATGCCCAGAACACTTTGTCTGCCTGGTGAGAAATGGGTAGCGGCTGAGAAAGGATAGGCAAAAGATGTGTGTATATTTTGAAAAGGGGATGTTCTTTCCTCTTCTCTGTTAAGCCTCCTCTGTCCTGTTAGGAAAGAATTAAGATTACAGAGTCAGGACTCTTATTCCTTCTTTTTTTTTTTTCAGGAGAAGTGAGGTGTGAGTCTCCCAATAACAGGTTGGACAGATTCACAGGAATACTGATTTATAAAGGAAAAAATTACGTCCTGGATCATGACAGGCTGATTCTCCGAGGCTGCATCATCAGGAATACAGATTGGTGCTATGGCTTGGTAATTTTTACTGGTACGTCTTCGTGGGGACCACAGACCCCCAGCCTGCTGGGTTCCGTTAGTAGCCACGTTGTGGGTACTTAGTTTTCAGGATGCAGATATGGTGCTCAGATATGTACCAGAACACTATGGCTTTGAGACAGATAGAAAGGGAGGCAGGTAGATGGATAGATGGATGGATAATTTAAGAAAAAAACAACTTTTTTTCCAAGCAATGAGCTGCCAGCATATCAGCCCTGCCTTTGTTAGAGGAAGGCTTTGTGTTCCAAGACCACAGAGCATTCATAAGTCTTTCTAAACATATCTGGACACAAGAGAAGGTATACACATAGAAGTACACATAGTATTAGCATATGAAAGGGGAACATGTGAAAGGGGAGAGTATACATGTGGATTGCTCCCATGAGGAAAAAATAAACACGGCGGTCATTATGTAGAATATAAAATACAATATGAAGTGTTCATGCCAGAGAAAAGGCACATGTGGCTCATTAGCAGTGGCCCATCTTGAGATGGCATTTAGAACCATAATCCCTTATACTTATTGAGGGATTTTCTTAAGTTATAAGGTAGTGCTGGAAAATGGAGGAAGATTCTGTGCCACCCTGTGCCCTCGGTGACAGTGGGCATTGATGACAACAACCACAGTAAGATAATAATTTCCAACTCTAGTCCCAGTGGCCATTATAAGCTCTTTAGGGCTTCCCTGGTGGTGCAGTGGTTGAGAATCCGTCTGCCAGTGCAGGGGACACGGGTTTAAGCCCTGGTGCAGGAAGATCCCACATGCCGTGGAGCAACTGGGCCCGTGCGCCACAACTACTGAGCCTGCGCTCTAGAGCCCACGAGGCACAACTACTGAGCCCGCGTGCCTAGAGCCCGTGCTCCGCAACAAGAGAAGCCCCTGCTCACCGCAACTAGAGAAAGCCTGTGCACAGCAACAGAGACCCAATGCAGCCAAAAATAAATAAATAAATAAAATTTAAAAAAAAAATGTTGGTTCCTATAGGAGCTCTTATAAAAAAAAAAAAAAAGCTCTTTATTTCTACTTACTATCTGCCTTGTCATGAAGAAATGCAGAGTCTCTGTCTCTCAGCTCCAGAGAAATCTCAGCTCCCAAGCTACCACCTCAAGAGAAATCACTGCCATTGCCTTTTCCTTTCTCCATTTCTTAATTAGAAACTTTAAATAGAGCCTGGTCCAGCAATGGGTTTCCTCAAAAGAAGGTGAAGTTCTCCTTATCAGAAAATCCCTTTTCTAAGCTAAATAAACCAGATGGTGATGAGAGAGAAGCTTGTGGCTCCTATTCTGACTTATGAGTGAAAAACTAGACTAAGGTGCAGCAAAGAGAGGGAGGTGTCAAGCATTGATGCACTTTGCAGAAGTAGTTGGGATTATCCTTAGAAACAAATTTTCCATTCTTTGAGTTATTGGCACCAAGCATGAGCCTTTCTCCAGGACTTCATCCCTTAGCATTGGAAAGAGGTTTGATAAAATGATCATAAAGGTACATTTTAACCCAATTTCAATCCTCTTGAGAATATTCCGTGATTCTAAGAGGTGATGTCTCCCTGTTTCACTTAGGACCAGACACCAAATTAATGCAGAACAGTGGAAAGTCCACTTTTAAACGGACACACATAGACCATCTCATGAATGTCCTTGTGCTCTGGGTAAGTTAAAGACATTTTTCTGTTTCTTTACAAATAAGCATGCTTCCCTTCCTTCCACAGCAGTAGCTGGTATTTTCAAGTCAGAATTTAGTTGTTTGAAAACCTCAAGCAGTTTTAGGACCCCACATACTAATGTCTGAAGCAGAAAAGAACAGAACTCATTGACAAGGGAGTCTCAAGTATATACCTCTGTTGTGGAGGACAGTCATAACTTGTTGAAGCTTTGATACTTTGATTAGTGGTACCAGAATAGATTTTGGACCCTGCTTTAGAAATTAAGACACTTTTTTTCATAGCCAGTTTTACTCATGACCACTTTAATAAAACCTTACTTGGACTAATAGATCACCTTACTTAAACCAATGATTTTCAAACTCTATTTCCTTAGAGGAGTCTAAGGTCTGCTGCAGGGGGAATAGAGAAGATCAAGAGTTTTGTTCGGCCTCTTCATTCTGAAGTTTCTGCTTTAAAAAGAGCAGCTTCACATTTATCTGTTCTGTAAGATCTCAGTTGGAAAATAAAGGATTCTGCTGCTAAGAAATGAAATTTGAAAAGCACTCAATATATACGATATAGCTTATATGTGGAGTCTTAAAAAAAGGGTACAAATGAACTTATTTACAAAACAGAGTCACAGATGTAGAAAACAAACATAGGGTTACCGGGGGCAAGGGGAGGAGGGATAAATTGGGAGATTGGGATTGACATATACATGCTCCTATATATAAAATAGATAACTAATAAGGACCTACTGTATAGCACAGGGAACTCTACTCAATACTCTGTAATGGCCTATATGGGAAAAGAATCTAAAGAAGAGTGGATATATGTATATGTATAAATGATTCACTTTGCTGTATCCTGAAACTAACACAGCATTGTAAATCAACTATATTCCAATAAAAAATTTTTATAAGCACTCAATAGATAATAATCAGCTTTGAGAATAAAGTTTAAATTGAAGACTAATTAATTTATTTCCATGCTATTATATACGGGTGGTCTTTATTCTTGTTAGATATAGACAGATTAATTTCTTCACTTACACAGCTTCTCTGCATGACTGAGTGGTTCCAGTGCTGCCTGTACTTGATTCCATTACTTTTTATATTTTATTTTTACTCTATTGCTTAGAAAATAAAAGTGCCCTTTTTCTGTACATTTCTCATTAATATCTGAATTACAAATTGTGTGTTCTCTGTTATTTATTATGGTAAATGTTACAGTTCTTTTTCTATATCCTTTGGATTTAATAAATGGGATTTTAGAAAATTAGGAAGATTCATTCAACAATAGCCAGGACATGGAAGCAACCTAAGTGTCCATCAACAGATGAATGGATAAAGAAGATGTGGTACATATATACAATGGAATATTACTCAGCCACAAAAAGAAACAAAATTGAGTTATTTGTAGTGAGGTGGATGGACCTAGAGACTGTCATATAGAGTGAAGTAAGTCAGAAAGAGAAAAACAAATACCGTATGCTAACACATATATATGGAATCTAAAAAAAAAAAAATGTCAGAAGAACCTAGGAGCAAGACTAGAATAAAGATGCAGCAGACGTACTAGAGAATGGACTTGAGGATATGGGGAGGGGAAAGGGTAAGCTGGGACAAAGTGAGAGAGTGTCATGGACATATATACACTACCAAATGTAAAATAGATAGCTAGTGGGAAGCAGCCGCATAGCAGAGGGAGATCAGCTCGGTGCTTTGTGACCACCTAGAGGGGTGGGATAGGGAGGGTGGGAGGGAGGGAGATGCAAAAGGGAAGAGATATGGGGACATATGTATATGTATAACTGATTCACTTTGTTATAAAGCAGAAACTGACACACCATTGTAAAGCAATTATACTCCAATAAAAATGTTAAAAAAAAAAAAAAAGATTCATTCAGCTTTGAGACCAGAAACTGTACTTGACATCTGTAGAGGGATTTTAACTTTTTTGAATATTTTCACATTCACTAACTGAAGCTTCACAACACATGAACAATAAGCAAGTCAAGAAGTATTTTCCCCATTGACAAATATGCAAATTGAGACAAGTAAAGATAAATATCATAAATAAAGTCCCACAGAAAAATAATGGCAAAGACTCATTGTCATCAAATCATATTTTTTATTGAAACTGAGTTATTTGTAGTGAGGTGGATGGACCTAGAGACTGTCATATAGAGTGAAATAAGTCAGAAAGAGAAAAACAAATACCGTATGCTAACACATATATATGGAATCTAAAAAAAAAAAAAAATGGTCAGAAGAACCTTTACAATGATGTGTTAATTACTGCTGTATAGCACAGTGATTCAGGTATGCATATATATACATTCTTTTTTGGTATTCTTTTCCATTATGGTTTATAACAGGATATTGAATATAGTTCCCTGTGCTATACAGTAGGACCTTGTTGTTTATCCATTCTATATAGAAAAGCTTACATCTGCTAACCCCACCTCCCACTCCATCCCTCCCCCTTGGCAACCACCAGTCTGTTCTCTATGTCTGTGATTCTGTTTCTGTTTCATAGATAGGTTCATTTGTGCCATATGTATTTTAGATTCCACATATAAGTGATATCTTATGATATTTGTCTTTCTCTTTGACTTACTTCACTTAGTATGATAATCTCTAGTTGCATCTATGTTGCTGCAAATGGCATTATTTCGTTCTTTTTATGGCTGAGTAGTATTCCGTTGTATATATGTACCACATCTTCTTTATCCATTCATCTGTTGATGGACGTTTAGGTTATTTCTATGTCTTGGCTATAGTGAATAGTGCTGCTATAAACATAGGGGTGCATGTATCTTTTTGAATTACAGTTTTGTCTGGATATATGCCCAGGAGTGGGATTGTTGGATCATATGGTAATTCTATTTTTAGTTTTCTGAGGGACCTCCATACTGTTTTCCACAGTGGCTGCACCAACTTACATTCCCACCAACAGTGCAGGAGGGTTCCCTTTCCTCCACACCCTTTCCAGCATTTGTTATTTGTAGAGTTTTTGATAATGGCCATTCTGACCAGTGCGAGGTGATACCATATTGTAGTTTTGATTTGCATTTCTCTAATAATTAGCAATGTTGAGCATCTTTTCATGTGCCTCTTGGCCATCTGTATGTCTTCTTTGGAGAAATGTCTATTTAGGTCTTCTGCCCATTTTTGGATAGGGTTGTTTGTTTTTTTGTTGTTGAGTTGTATGAGCTGTTTGTATATTTTGGAGATTAAGTCCTTGTCAGTCATATCATTTGCAAATATTTTCTCCCATTCAGTAGGTTGTCTTTTCATTTTGTTTATGGTTTCCTTTGCTGTACAAAAGCTTGTAAGTTTGATTAGGTCCCATTTGTTTATTTTTGGTTTTATTTCCACTGCCTTGGGAGACTGACCTAAGAAAACATTGGTATGATTTATGTCAGAGAATGTTTTGCCTATGTTTTCTTCTAGGAGTTTTATGATGTCATGTCTTATACTTAAGTCTTTAAGCCATTTTGAGTTTATTTTTGTGTATGGTGAGATCAAGTTATATTTATTGAGAATCTAGTATGTGCCTAGTATGTGCCAGGTGTTGTGAGGATCATAAGGTTTTATAAGTCCTGGGTCCAGCTCTCAAGTATATACGTTCACTTTTGGGAGATGGGGCATCAATATGTGCCAGATGCTTTACATACATAATTTTATTAATAATCACATCTATCCATCTAGGCATAACTTTTCAGAGTTAATGCTCTTTCTGCTATACTTGCTATTTCCCTGGGGAGACAAAATTAAAACACATGACAAATCTGTTTAACATGGCAGATTGACCACATGTGAAGAAATTATAAATTTTTTTTAAAAGACCCTAAGGGCTTCCGGAGAGAAATAAAATGTCATATTCAAGAAGCAAAATAGCATTGGCTGGGCTGCCCTGGTGGCGCAGTGGTTGAGAGTCCGCCTGCCGATGCAGCGGACACGGGTTCGTGCCCCGGTCCGAGAGGATCCCACATGCCGCGGAGCGGCTGGGCCCGTGGGCCATGGCCGCTGAGCCTGCGCGTCCGGAGCCTGTGCTCCGCAACGGGAGAGGCCACAACAGCGAGAGGGCCACGTACCACAAAATAAATAAATAAATAAAATAGCACTGGCCTTCTCAACAGCAACAGCAGAAGGTAAACATCAACGCTTCAAACGTCTGCCAGAAAATTATTTGCATCCTATAATTCTAAATCCATTGAAACTATCAATAAAATGCAAGTATAAAGAAATATCCATATGTGCAAAGACTCAAAAAATTTACTTATCATATATCTTCTCTTAGGAAGCTTCTAGTATATACTCAAGCAAAACAAGAGAATAAACCAAGAAAGATATGGAAGCCAGGAAACATGAGAACAGTGAAAGGAAGTCCTACGATGGTGGCTGAATAGCAGGCCTAGAGAACACCAGAGCAGATTAAAGCAGAGGTATAGAGGGATCTGCAATGGGAGTCTCCAAAGAGAATGCAGTTCTCTGCTCAAGTTCTCACAAGATGGCTGCAGCAGAGAAGCAGTGTAAATACCCAGAGCAGCTAAACTAGCAGAGTAGCTGCTATGAATTTCTACCTTTATGAGGTCATTCATGCAATCATTCCTTCAGAAAGTAGGGAATATTATCTTGGGTCCCATGTTCACTTTTGGGCATCTAGTTTAAGAAGGACGTTGAGACTTCCTATTTGAGCCTAAAGAAATGACTGTGAGGAAGTACAAATAGAAAATAAATCCCCTGACAGAGCGTGAAGAACTGTCAGCAGACCCAAGATGCTGATGAGCTTTTGGAAGGCAGAAAGTAGATAGATTATACCGATAAATAAACCAGAGTAGTGAAAGCTTCCGCGGAAATGCATTCCTCAAGAGTAGTTCCGAGCTAGATTCAGCAGGAATTGAGAGCAGGAGTAAGATGTGGGGGTAATAATCAGGATAATTAATTTTAAAACTGCCCATGAAACAACATGGACAGCACCTGGCCCTCTGTACCATC